AACGCCGCTAAAAACGCCGCTTAAGAACTCTTTTGATGTAGTGTTGTTAGCTTGATTGAAAAAAAAAGTTTAATGACCTAATTGACAAATTTTTTATTCGACGGTAAAAATAGAATTAATCCCAAAATTTAATGATCTTGAAGTAATTTACCTTAAAAATTGAACTTTTTGGCTCCAAGTTTATCTCAATATCTTTAATATAGACAACATGTGCATGTAAAAACAAAAGAATCAAGTAGGTGTCACTTCTTAAGTTTTTATTCTTTAGGGCGGGTTTATTTGTTATGGGTTATAAGGCTTAATAATATTCCCTAATCTATGAACCCTAGCTTTTAATTAAATCAAGAGGATGGGAATTACTTTGTGACACACACCTTTACATTGTGACATTGCATGGAAGAAGAGTGAGTGGTCCTTTTGTAGTTTAGGGGGCATTTCAAGAATCAAACCTTTGAATACATGCCACTGATGTTAGAGATAGTGAGAAAACAAAAGTGTTATGTTGACACGAAGAAAGCATTATGGACCTACTCATGTGGTAAGCAAATGGGAGTAGATGACACATGTTACATGTAGTTTTGATGTAGAGTTTGGTGACGTGCATGGATTTGGAAAATGACCAAACATTCATATTCCACTGCAAAGGCAAGACCTAATATGAACGTGGGTAGTGACGGATCTACTCTTAATTCAGAATGGATACAGATTCACTCTAAAATTAATTTTTTTTATTTATTAATTATGTCAATCCTATATTTTTTTTTATCATGGGTCGATATGAGCATTTATCTCTAAAAGAAGGGAAAATTACTGTTTAAATTTAAGAGAGTAAAGTATAATTAATAATAAAAATAAAAATCAAATCAAATTAATTTAAACTGGAGTGTCTAATTAAGTATACATCTCTATATACTTTTTAGGATAAACTACACAGTTAGTATCTAAACTATTATTTTTGTTCTGTTTTAGTACCTAAATTTTTTTTTTTTTAAATCATACATAATGTTTAGTTTATGTTTCAATTTAGTATCTCGTCATTAAAAAATTAATAAAATAGTTGATGTGATATTTTTTTATTTTTTCAATGATGATGTGACAATACCTTATAATAACACGTCAATATCATCATTATGTTTTTCACAATAGGTACCAAAATGAAACTTAAACTAAATGTTATGCACGACTTTAAAAATAATAAAGTTTAAGTACCAAAATAAAATAAAATTAATAATTTAAATATTAAACGCATAGTTTGCCCTACTTTTTAATTAAAAGAATTGGGAGCTATAGCTCCTTCACTGCACATGAACATTTAGAAAATAGTAGATATACTCGCATGATGTCAAACTATGCATGTGAAAGTTTGATGATTGAGCAAGAGAGGAAGCAACACATGGAAACATTCTCATTAGCTGACTTAATTATTGGGCCTCGGAACTTGTTCCTTTTCCTTTATTTAATGTGTATAATTAGCAACAGTGCTTAGTCTTAGCATCTATCCTTATTTCTGTACTTACATATTCCTGTTTTCTCTGGACTTTCATTTTTTTTACTGATCTGAGCAGCACATATACCTCTCTCTTGTCTTGTAAAACATAATCAGATCAGTTTTATGTTCAAAGCGACAACCATAAATAGAAAAAGGGTAAATTGCATACTATCACCTATCTATTCATGCAGTTCCTTTTTTATCACCCAACTTTCTTTTTCTAAAAGATCATACATAATGTTACGTTTTTTCTTGTTTTGTTAAGAATGAACATAACTGTTGACGTAGTAATTTTTTTTATTTTTCAATGATAATTTGACATTATCTTATGGAGTTAAGGTGATACGTCAATATTAATGTTAATTTTTTAATGATTGATGACTAAAATAAAACTAAAATATAAGATTAAGTATACTTTTGAAGAAAAATAGTTTGATAAATAAAATGAAATCGTATAAATAAATGACGACTAAATCCGTAGTTTACCCATTAGAAAACACATGTAATGGATGAAGCTTCAAAAAAACTTCCTTCCGGGAATATGCAATAGCTGAAGATTGATGACCATTATTATATAATATGGGGCATCATTCTCTCTTTAGCATCATCAATATTCAATTTGTTAATGGAATTTAACCTAAATACTTTAATTTTTTTGTTTATCAATCTTTATTATCCACAAAATATATTATTTTTTACCCTAAAATCATGTAAGACCATCAAAATATTTTCCAGAATATAGCTAAGTAACAAATACATAAGAGTTAGCAGCAGCAGCGACAAGTTTAGGAGATAGGCACGCCAAATTTTCACTATAAATATTTATATTTTTCTATGCCTACTTTGACCCCTCATAATATTTATGATCTCATCCATAGTTACAAAATTTGAGAAACAACTTTGGGTTTAATCGTAGGCTTAAATTCTATCAAAATTCCTATTGATTTGGACATGATAAAACAAATCAAAGATAATAATAAGAATATGGGTAAAGTACACAAATGATCTTCGATTATAGGACGATATTTTGTTGATTCCCTTGATTATTAAAAGTTACGAAATGGTCATTCGATTATAGGGCGATGCTTTATTGAGTCCTTCGACTTTTAAAAGTTACAAAATAATCATCTGACTATTCATATGTTTCAAACTTATCATCTTCTATTAAAAATTGGCATTCGCCTAAGCTAAACGTAAACATGTTGAATGAGATATAATAAAATTTGATAATAGAATCATTTGAGGTGCATTTTGTGGATCGATTCTCTGTTTACATTATACCGTCGAGCCAATGCTTGAAATATTATATCGTCGAGGTAGTGCTTAAAAACAACGACGATACCAGTAACGTCCAGCTCAGACGATCGTCGAATGTTTAACGGGAAAAAATGAATTTGTAAAAAATAGTTAGTCGAGTGACCATTTTGTAACTTTTAATAGTCGGGGACTCAACAAAACAAAATCCTAGAGTTGAGAGACCATTTTGTAACTTTTAATAGTCAGAGGACTCAACAAAGTAACGTCTTATAGTTGAAGGACCATTTATATACTTTACCCTAAGAATATTAATCGTCAATTGATCTACTTGGATGATATATTAGATTTTTTAAATAAAATTAAATAATTGAATATAGATGTTACAGATACAACAAATTGAATTTAAAAGATCTCCTTCACAACAAATCTTTGCAATAGAATTAATCGATTTATATTTTTTTTTTACAAAAGTCGATCTATATATTAAATAAAAATAGTTACAACAATAATAAATCAGTGATGATAATTAAAAAAAAAATCTTTTTATCACCTATTGATAGGGTAAAGGGCCAAGCATTTATGCTAAGGTTTAACTAGGGACAAATAGAATAGGAAGACGTCCCTTTAGGTGTGCCAAGGCATAGGTCGAGTTACATCATCCAATAAACAAATATAACAAGTGTATGGTGAATAATTAATTATTATCAAGTATTCATTTTATGATTTTATTTAGGGTAAACAACACTAGCGGTCATTGAATTTTAAAGATGCTTTCACTTTGATCATCAAACTTTTAAAACTTGTATTACAATCATTAAATTTTTAGTTCACTTTCATTATGGTCTATGCGATTATGAAATATTAACGTGACACATTAGCCTTTTTGAAGAGAAAATAAAAACTTAAGATTCTATATTTATAGTCATCGTCAAAATCAAATATATGATAACTGGAGCGATCGTTGATCAATCCAAATAGTAAGAAGGATCTATTAGGCTAGAAGATTAACATAGTTTGGTTTCAAGCTGGTCCGACGATTGAGAGTGACAAATTGAAAATTTTTAACTTCTAATTTTAATTAGGATTTACTTGAGTTTTGAGGAGATTAAAAGATTTTTTGATGAGTTTAAAATAAAGGAAAGAAAGAGAAGAAAATGAGTAGTTTGATGATCTTTTCAACCAGGAAAAAACTATTGAACTACGATAAAAACAATGACGAAAGGGGAAAACAATCCAATAAAAAAATAAATGTTAAAACTTTACAATATATCACTGTTAATTGTCAATTCAACTTGAATTCAAACTATGCTAATCTTTTGATCGAACAAAGTCTTCCCATCGTTAAGATCAACATATGATTACCCCGTTCTTCGAAAACTTAATTTTTATGATTGTCAATTTAGAACATTTATGTTTTTAGGGAAAAAAACTCGTGTCAATATTTTCTAACGACAACTAACTATAGTTATCGTAATGAAAATGAATTAAAAATCTAGTGATCGTAATATAAATTCTAAAAGTTTAGTGACCAAAATAAAAATATCCTAAAAACTCAATGACTACTAAATATAGTTTACCGTTTAATTTAATATTCCGTCGTTGAATTATACTCGTTGTTATATAATTTTTTTTTGTTTATGTATGTAAATTATCATTCTATTCTAATGTTTTATGTTCTTGAATTAAGAAATTCAATGACTTTAAAAATAAAAATTCGACAACAAAGAAGATGAAAAATCAATATTAAAAATTTCAAGGTCAAAATAATATCTTTTTGAATTCGAATCAAATTTAAATTTAATCAGGTTCTTGTATCTATAGAGAAGTTACATAATTATGCAGGTCTTGGGAGGGGTTATTACTCCTCACTTTTTATAGTCTAATAACTCTTTAAGCCCTTAAAATTTTAAATATTAATCAATTTAACACTTACTTTCTAATTTTATTATTTAAGTATCCTTTATCTTCTTAATATCAGATTCTGGCACCGTCCCGGAAGATATGTTACTGCCAAAAAGGAAAAAAAAAAAAGAAAAAGCTAAGGCATAAATACTGTATATGCATATGGTATTTATAAAACATTTTCCTTCTTTCTATTTTAACCATTCATTTAATAAAGCCAAATATGTTTTCCTTTAATAATTTCCTCTGAAGCAGCTTCATTCAAAAAGTAGGAACCCAGATTTCAAATACTTTCGACTTTTATTTTCTATTTAATTCCTTTCAAAAAAAGTTTTATGCTTTATTATTATTATCTCTTTTTGTGTGATTCTTTAACTTAAATTTTCGAACTTGAACTATAAAGAGAGTAACATCAAGAACTGAATCGCACGGGAGAGCTTTTGTTTTTAGTGAAAGTTTTAGTTTCTCGTTATCAAAGTTTTGTTCTTTACTTACCATCATTTTTTGTTATCCGTGTGAAAGGAAATTGAACTAGAAAGACAAAATGAGCAATGCTCATCAAGAAACTATCAAGCAATTTCTGTCTTTGATGGAAAATGGTAACATTAAAGGAAAAAAATCGATACTTTTTGATATTTTCTTCTTTGAGTTTCTTTTCTTTCGATCTGCAAATTGCTAACATTTTTCTTTCCTGGGGAATTTGACTAACAGTTGATGAGCAGATGAAGGCGACATTTCAGGTCAGCTTATTATTTTAATTTTTGTAATTGGGTGCTGAGATAAGGAGCTGAATAATAGCTAGAATTAGATTTTTCCTTTTTTTATTAACATTTTGGCGAGTTTCTTTTAATTACTTGAACTTCTGCTGTGGAATTGATCCAACTGATTGGCTGCATGCGATTTCATATGTGTTGATTCTGATCTATCTCTTGCTGGATTTATATCAATTATGAAGCCTTTTGGTTTAGTGAAGTTGATTTGACTCAGTTTGGAACTTTGTCTCTCTCTCAGTATTTTACTAGTTTACGGGGATAGTTACATAGTTTAGCAACTTGGCAAATAGTTGCAAAAACCTTAGTTATTACTTCTTGCTAGCATGAACTTTCTGATTAGTTTCTGAAACACGTTGCTATCGCGTGATCATTCGACGGTTAGGTGGTACAATTGAAATGTAAGATCATCTTAAATTATTTGTAGGTCAGTTTTTTCCTGGTCACTTATGGAAGTTCCTGCTAGATAAATATATTTAAATCAAAGAAGAGATGAAGATATAAGTAGCCAAAATAAAGTATCTACGGATATTAACTGTACAAGCTGGATATGTCGAAGTTTTGATATAAAGTATCTAGAGCTAAGTGTAGTGTATAGATAAATGAAATACTTAAAAGCAATTTTCTTTTCTGCTGCCTCAAATTTTAGTGACATTTGAGGTGTTATGAAGAGTTAATTTCTCTAACTATACAGGTCTTTGTTTAGTTAAATGACTTGCATGTGCTAGTTGGTTTACTGCTGTGTACTTACTAATATAATTCACTTGTGTGGATAGACTAATGAATATGGCGTTATGTATTTGTGGTTTGTACTAGGACCTGCTTAAGTTTTATTTAATGTTGATTTTCTTGGTCTGTAGAACATGCACCATGGGTATCCAACTGAAACTTTAGTGCGGTTTCTCAAAGCAAGAGATTGGAATGTTCAGAAAGCCCATAAAATGGTGAGATTCATCCATTGAACTTAATCTATAACAAAATATTGTGCACCGATATACATATATATATTTGTTTATTAAATTCTACTTTGTTTCCTGATCCAGTTAATTGATTGCTTACAATGGAGAATACAGAATGAGATTGACAACATTTTAGCAGTGAGTTTTCTCATTAAACCCTAACCAATTCCTCGTGTATTTATGACATTGTAAAACCATGTGTTTTGCATACACTTATAGAGATCATACTGACTTGTGGAATTGGCTCAGCTGCTAAAGATAGCTTCGGCTGGAGTTGGTAAAACAACAAAGTTTATTGTGGCAATTGATGAATCTTGAGATCACTCATTTTACTTTTTCTCTATGTAGAAACCAATTATCCCGACAGATATATATAGATCAGTGCGAGATTCTCAGCTTGTAGGATTGTCGGGCTACTCAAAAGATGTATTTACTTATCTGATTAAGATATATATGTTCACTTTCACATTTATTTGTTTTGATGTGACAATATGTAGAATATGCTGCTATTAGGGTCCCTTTCTTTGTGAGAAAAACTTTTGTTTCATTCAAAATATGTTCCATGGTGACTTATTGACACATTCCTAACATTTACAGGGTCTTCCTGTCATTGCTATTGGTGTTGGGCTTAGCACATATGATAAGGCATCTGTAAGGAGATCGTAACTCGTTCTAACTCTATTCCTAAATCTGGCATTGCAGCCTTAGAATCTGGCTTGATGTTTGAAACTAACTCATACGAAGACTTATTTTTCAACTTCTAAGTAACTATATGCTTTTTCTGCAAAAAAATAACTTGTTTTCAGTATAATTTATTAGGAAAAATAAGTTGTTTTCTATGTTTAAATGAACAAATTCAAGAGATTAATTGAGGGCATGTAATACTTTGAAGTTTTCTAGATATTCTTGCGGAGATTGACCATAACTGCATTCTTTTTCCTCTTCCATTATGCCCTTGTCCTTCTCGTGGAGGTGTTTTATTAATAATGCTAGCTGACTTGGATACTTAATATGTTGGAAAGGTAAACAAATTAGTACTTGTGGTTGGGTGGAAGGCATCTTTTAGCATAAGTTGCATGTACTTCAGCTTGCACTGTATGGAGTTATTTTTATGACACTTTAATCTGTGATTCTTTGCGTTCTAGGTGAATTACTATGTACAGTCGCACATTCAGATGAACGAATATCGAGATCGTGTACTATTGGTGAGTATGGCTTTGCCAATGTGATGCTTTTCACTGGCATAATTGCTTGCTAACTTATTATGTATTCTACAATGTTGCTTTTGTTATAGCCTACGGCCACAGAAAAGTACGGACGACATATCAGCACATGTCTGAAGGTTTTGGATATGACCGGCTTGAAGCTTTCAGCATTGAATCAAATAAAGGTACACTTTAGTATCATATAACCTTTCACCAGAATGGAAAAGAAAGAATTGTCTGCTCATTACCGAGCTAACTCTCCTGTGCTATTTGCTAATGCAGTTACTTACCACTATATCAACAATTGATGACCTGAATTATCCTGAGAAGACACATACATATTATATTGTCAATGCACCGTATATATTTTCGGCATGTTGGAAGGTTTTTATGCTTCTTAATTCCGCTTCTCTTAGCTATTTTTACAAAAAGGAAAGCCTAATGCTTATCTGCAAGTATTAGCAGGCCGTAAAACCTCTCTTGCAAGAAAGGACAAAGAGGAAAATTCAGGTGCTTCAAGGTTCTGGAAAGGAGGAGTTGCTGAAAGTAAGAATACCCTTCCATCCATGTTTGTGAAACTCTCTTGAATGTTTGCATTAAACTATTTTTAGATAATTAAACCATATGGATAATGCAAAGAATGAGTTGTTCGTCATTTCGGTTCTCATGTTATCTTTATTTGTTTGTGTATATATAGATGCGTCAGATTGAATAAAGTTTTGCTGGCTTTGGCATGATTTGTTTTTCTGCTTTATCCAGCTTTATTCGGATTATTCCAGACTTTTGACTTGTTCTTCCCAACTATGCAGATAATGGATTATTCATCCCTCCCACATTTTTGTAGAAAAGAAAGTTCTGGATTCACACGTCGCAGCAACAATGGAACGGTGGATAACTGTTTCTCGTTGGATCACGCCTACCATCAACAGCTTTACAGTTATGTAAAGCAACAAGCTATACTTATAGAGACAGGTTCACCGGTCAGAGAGGGGTCAGTTCATGTAGAATTTCCCGAGCCGGATCCAGACGATACTAAAATTGCTCTGACAATCGAATCCGAGCTGCACAAGCTTGCAGATCGTAATGGTTTGTGCAAGTCCTTAAATGGCCTTAAACGGTGATTAGATTTTAGATTATACCCGATTATGTAACTGTTGCCGATATGTTGCAAAGAGACCAGACTCATCAGCTACTGTAGAATGAGAGGCCATGTATTTCAATCATCAAATATTATAGCAGAGCCCTCTTGCATCAGCTCGATGCAGATTTAGAGGACAAACTAATTTGGTGCTACCTGGTATGCCACCTTGTTGTGGATAATAGCGCATGCCTTTTCTTTATTTACTAGATTCTGTATGAAACAAGAGCCACCCAGTTCTACTAAATGCAGCTTTGTTGAATAATTTTCTCAGGATGGATTGGTGGCTGATGATATTATGCATTAATGGGAAATTTGAAGGTTCATATCAGCTTATAATTCTTGGGTTTCGAATAAGTCTTGAACCAATCAACCGAGACATTGTCATTATAACAGAGGTAGATGATAATCGGTATATGACCACGGATACATGGTTTTCGGCGAATGCCAAACAAAATTCTTGTAGAAACATAGGGAACTCCAAATCATCATTAATATGAACAATGCAAAATATCATCCTCGCATTTCTAACTTAGCTGTTTGTAGCAGCTATAAGCAACAGCGATTGATGCAGCAGCACAAACAACGGCAAGAGCGGCGCATGTATCTTCATGCTCCCAGCTCTCAAACCAAGTTGGCTTGCCACAAATCTTGCGAACACTGGCACCTTTTCCGCTATTGATCATTGAAATAAGTTTCTTTCCACTTTTTTTCTTTTCGGGTGTCAACTTAACAGCCCCCTAGTCGGTGTCCACGATATCCAACTTTTGAGGTAGTGCAGGGTCGTGGCAACAAGCACTGCCATTTCCTTGGCAATAGCTTACAAATTCATCTTGAGATCGACAGGCAGTTGTGCCCATCTCATCCATTTGTCTTTGTGTTTCCTCTTTCGTGCTTCCTTCTATAGTAGTCTCACCACTTGCTAGGCGTCTTAGCTCTTGAAATCTCCTGTTCTTCGGATATACCCATTGGGCCCCTAAAATAAACATTAAAATGCCTTATTAATACATAGTAAGCTTGTCAAATTCTACGTCTACAATAGAAGGTGAAGATTTCGAGTACCTTCTAGGCCCCGTTTTACATGAATATATCCTGTTTCGAGTCAAATTACACCCTGCGACTTCTATTTCATGTTTGCCACACCTTAAAAACTAATGTTTTTGCATATTGCATTCTTAATACTCTTGTATTATATTCTATACATGAAACCAACACCGAAAGAAGGATCAATGATTGCAATAAAACAAGTTGGTGCCGAAAAAATTACCTCCATAACGCGTCTATAATTTCTCCCTTCCCAATATGCCACTCTAGCAGTGTAGGTACATCATCTGGAGTAACATATCCATACCTGCAGAAAATACATATGCATTTATTTTAAATGCTCAGAAAATATATAAAGGAACCAGGCTAGCTTAACAAATTAAGGGAGATTCAACGAAAACAACCACCAGAAAAGAGATCATTCCTACCGGTGTCCCGAAACTTCATTGATATTTGATCCAAATATGATAACATTTCCTGCATACTTGTGCCCCCCAATGTGTGAGCATGGGCTAACAGACACTCTACCTTGAAGACCATGCAAAACTATCTCTTCTTTTTATTTTTTTTTGATAGAAAATTAGGCTTCATTAAAAGTCCCCTTCATACCCTCCATGTTGCAACAGTAACATGAAGGACATTGGAAGGAGGAAAAGAGTGCCTATGAATTTTATTAATCAGAACAATAATACACAGCAGTACCAAACATCCTACTGATACAACATAACACTGATTACATAAGACTGAAAAGAAACACCCTATAGAAAACAAACATTTCCCTACACCTTAACACACCAAATACATAACCTAATAATCAACCAATACCATCTTTAGCTAACTTGTCCGCTTCCCAATTAGCAGCTCTCAGGACATGCCTTGAAATAATATCTTGTCCTTCCATACGAGAAACTATACCAAGGACTAAAACATAGGGGTGCATAAATCTGGATTTTTAATCCAATTCAGTGTTGTACTAGAATCCGATTCTAGAATAACCCTTTGACTTAGGGCAGATCCTAATTCTTCAAGAAGAATCAGCCCTCTCTTAATCGCCAATAGTTTTGCCAGTATAGGAGGCCTACCCCCAACCCTTTCTGAAAACGACTCAATCAACATACCTCTACTGTCCCTAATCAATCCACCAATTCCTCCTTTATCCCATCCCCTCACCATCGCACCATCTACATTAAGCTTAAAGAAACCATCCGGAGGAGGAACCCACCACGTTGAAGGAGAACATCCCTTTTTCTGTCTTCCCACTGAATCAACTAATTTTAAATCTCCCACTAAAGAGTCAAACGGGATATGCACATCCTTAAATCTTGCACCAAACCAAGTAGTTGTTCTAAATCGAACAAGAAAGAACAACAATACTGCATCCACCTTCCCTTTCTGAAAAATTACCTCGTTCTTGCATTTCCAAACCGTCCACATCACCGCCCTTGGAATGAATTTCCAAATAATGGATTTCGGAAGTAAGTCATCCTACAAAATGATGAAATCAATCATATTCTTTAGAACCACAAAAGAAACATTCCAAAAATTCAAAAATCTAGAACACAAACCCCATACTACCTCACAATGCAAAAAAAAAAGTGAAACCGTTTCTCCATATCTACGACACATCGGACATAAAGGGTCCTCGATCCCAACCACTCCTCGCTTCAACAATTCCTCCTTAACCGCCACTCTCTGGTGTGCAACTTGCCAAACAAAAGTCTCCACACGGAGGGTGCAACCCCTACCCAAATATGCCTTTCCCAAGTACCATCATTCCCCTCATAAGCAGCCTGGTCAGAAAAATGCTTGATGCATGATTTAGTTGAAAAATAACCCTCTCCATTCCCTAACCATATCCAACAATCTTCTTCATAAGGAGACAAATTGATATTATTCAACAACGTGATAAGTTGTAACCATTGTTCAATCTCCCAATCCACCAAGTTCCTTCTCATATGAATATCCCACACCCAACCCAAAGCATTATTCACCTTGAACTCTACAACTTTACCCCATTTATTATTCGAGAGAGCAAAAAGACTCGGAAACTGATCTTTAAGGGGAACTACTCCCAACCAAACATCATGCCAAAACTCCATTGATTCTCCATTTTCCGTTCTCAAACGCAAAATTTTCCTTAAACAATCCCCAAATCCATCACTAGAAAAGAAATTTTTAACATCTCATTTCCAAATCCAAGAGGCACGTGCTGTCCAAGAATTCCCAATCATACTGGAGTTCGGATCCAAATTATACACACAACACACCACTCTTTTCCACCAAGAAACATTTTCTGTAGCAAATTTCCATACCCATTTCCCTAGAAGGGTCATGTTCAAAAGTAACAAATTCGGAATCCCTAGACCCCCAACCTCTTAGGCTTACACACCAAATTCCAATTCACCCAATGAATGTTCCTTTTTCCTGTCGATTCCCCCAAAGAAAGGATGCCATAATAGAATTTAATTTATTCAACACAGAACAAGGCATTCGAAAGATAGAAAGAAAATAAATGAGGAGGGAGCACAACACTGATTTTACTAACAGTCTAACACCACCCTGCCCACCAACGATAAAGAATTTGCCTTCCATCCAGTCAACTTGTTGTGAAATCTCTGTACGACTAGCTCCCACAAGGAAATCGAATTTCTCTTGGTCCCCAAGGGTAAGCCTAAATACTCTGATGAAAAATATCCCACTGAACAATCAATTTCCTTAGCCCAAGAAACTACCACCTCCTCCTCAACATTAATTCCAAACAATCTGCTCTTAGCTAGATTTAACTTCAATCCCGCCAACAATTCAAAAATTAGAAGCACCCTTGTAACATTCAGCAAATCACAAATCGAGGCCTTGCTAAAAATTATAAGATCATCCACAAATTGCAAATGCGATAGCTTGAAGGAACGATAAAAAACTCTCTTTTCTTTGAATCTGCTAACCAGTGGAGGTCCACAAACTCCACAACGGTGATCTCGGGATCCATGAGAACAAACAAAAACAAATGACCCTTGTAGTTTTTCTGGAGTTCCAAGCAGCCACTCACCATTCTAGACGAGCACTTCTTCAACAAATGTGTCAACATCGAAATGGGTCAATCTCCTGCATCCTTAGCTAAAAGAGTGATCAGTATTAAGCTTGAAAATAAAGGAAATAAAAGAAAACATCCAAAGAAACCTCAATGGAGCTGCAATAGACCTGTATCTAATCATGTCTGGAAATATCAATACATCTCCATTTCATGTCTCAGTTCCATCGTGCCCCTCACATATTGTTAAGCGGGTCTAAAAGAAGACAAGCGGAAATAGATAATGTAAGCATGCTGGAAAAGAAAAACTCGATAACAAATTCTCACTACAATCATTCAAACTTCAGGACTAATAGAAGTCCGACAAAACCAGATAAACCAACAGCCAACCATCATATGATCTGTTTTTCTTCTAAAGCATGTCATTTCAGGGCCAATCTTTATATCTGTTAAGGACTTACAGTGTAACCAAAAGGGAACACCTTTGTGACACAATGTGCGGTCCAAAATCGGGAAAGTAATTTTAAATGACCTAGAACCGGAATTGCATACCTGTATGGATATGCTTTTATAGATGTATCATGGACATCAAACATAGAAAGTTAAAACAAACACATACTGAAAGATGAAAATCTATGTTAAACAACTTAATGCAATCCAGTACAAACCGAAAGAAAAATGAAACAAAACAATTTATCAAGTTCCTTCATGATTCATAGGATTATGTTGATTAAGAACATTGAATCCAAACTTAAGCTAAGCATTGTATGTTAACAAATCAAATCCAATCAGTAAGAAATGCCAAGTCTACATCGAATGACAAATATGAAGCTGAGAAAACATCAGACTGCAGAGTGTCAAATCACTTCCAAACAGAGAGTCGGAAAAGAATCATATCCTTTAGAGTAATAAAACCGATTAAACTCTGTAATGGCAAATTTAGAACTAAAAAGGAACAGATTGCATACCTCCAAGTCACTCCTAAACACAGCTACTTAACAAACCATTGAAAACCAATATCAATCTTCTAAAGTTGAACCCAAACATAAGTTAAAAAGGTGGATTTTAAACTATAAACACAATAAAAGAAAACACATTTCCCTTCATAAGAACCTTTAGAAAACATTAAAATGTGATACCAAAATGTCAAAATTGCATCTGAAAAGGTAGCAAAGTGCGTTCTTTCAAAGCTCCAAAATCTAATGACAATCTATTCCTACAGGCAGACCAAAAAGAACAAATTAAAACCTAAAATAATTATTAAAAATGGGATTTAAATCATAAAATAACCACAGGTTTCTGCATTTTAAGATCACTAAAAAGATTAAACCAATTAAGGAAAAAACAGAAATCCAATTAAATTCACCTAAAAATGAATAAAGTTAACAAATTTGAAGCTAAGAGAACGAACTAGGGCTTGGGACGTCTCGAATAGCAAACCAATCCAAATACCGAAAATAAAGAAAAGCACACCAACCTCTTTTATCTTATCAGTCTTCCTGGCCAGAACAGCAGCAGACAACAACCTAGGCAAACGATCAAACTCAGCAGCCTCAATCCTCGGAGGCCAAACTGATGGGCTTTTGTAGCAAAGGAATACATGGCGTTCATAGAACTGGACAGTGCCGGAGATTGGACCTTGATGTCCAAAGTCAGGCCTGGAGAAACCAAACACGACATCATTGTTACTCAGAAGCTAGATGACCCTCGTTTGAGTAGCTCCCGGCAGCACTTCCGATGCGGGAAGTTGGGTCTTGGAGATAACTGTCAAGGTGGTCTGAAATTGTGATTGGAGAAGAGGACGATGATGGGTTTGTTGGTAAAGTTAATGACTCTTTTCTTTCTCTGCTACTTGACATCATTTCAAGCACAAAAGAGAGGTAGAAAGGAAGGGTTTTAGGGGATGGATAAATAGGAAGGGTTTTGTTTCAAGAGAATGATATATTTTTGTTGTTGCTGGCTTTTAAGAGGGGTGAAGGAAATACGATTTTTTTAAGGACTTGTTTTGAAACCTGTGATAATTTCTATATTTTGTATGGATTTTCACTTTTTTCTCCCAAATTAATGTTTTTTTTTTGTAATGTTCTTGTTTACGATTGTCTTCATATTTATCTGCTAACTCTCAAACTTTAGGATAATTTACTTTCCATGGACTCAAGACCTGAGAGTATTTTCATTTTTCAGGGTGATTCGTCTAAGTGGACTAGCTTTCATTTGTCAAAATCAAAGTATCAAGAGAAAAGGATCATTAGTCCATTCTCTTTGCCATCCTTGTCATGCCATCAATTTTCATCACTAAAAGGACTAACATGTTTATATCAATAATTAAAGAGATTGAACAACCGTCTATGGTAATCTGTGATTCTGTCATATTTTCTTTCATCTAAAGAAGCCCCACTTTAGTCATACCTTTATATATATAAAAAAATGAATCAGATCCACCTGCTTCTCATTGCTCAATCAAAATAATGCAAAAAGTTTTCAGGATGCGAAGAAAACATGTGTTGCATATCTATTCTTGGACATTTTATTAGTATTTTTGGGGCACCATTAGCTTAAGGAAAATGTTTAATTTGTTCCACTAAAATAAGATTAGAAGACTTTAGTTCTTAAAGTTGGTCACCAACTTATAATAAGCAATAAATGGAGGTTGCCATTGCCTGGATGCATTGTACCAGTCTTGAAAACCAAGTCATTTGAGGGACCAGAAGCATTAAAAGCTTAAATTTGCTTACTGCCAAAGGCTCATCAGAATCATTGCTGCCACATTGCTCTCCAAAGAGCTTTTTGCACCTAAAATGCTGGTGGCATAACACAAGCATTCATTTCCAAGGCTAAGTCATGAATTAACTTAATAGTAGTCATATTATACACAGATGTCATTTACTCCATGTTGCTTGCAAACTAACCCTTGGATATTTCCAAGTTAAATTCCTTGCACCCGACAAGAATAACAGAGGATTTGATTTCACAGTTCTGAGATGTACACAACCATATATATATGTTTCTCTCAACCATCGATAAAATGTACAAAGATCAGGCAAATGCAATGTTACAGAGGCTTCTCACCAGGCAGAAAAGAGGGAGATCTACCCTCGATTTGGTTCTTTCTTCGATTGAAGATGCCACTGATATTAGGTAAAAGAACCTTTTTCGAGATGGAAGACTTCTCATTCTCTAACTGACCTGAACAGTTCTCTGTTGGGTTGGGAGGCTTTTGAATTCTGTAGTGCTGCGGGGATGATTCTGTTGACATCTGTGCTTCTGTCAGAATCCGAGATGCAGCTTCGGCTGCTTTCTTCTGTTCCCTTTCGCGCCACCTTCGGAGCTCTCCCTCCACAGCTCTCTTTGCAGCTTCAGCCATCTCAGCCCTCTTCAAAGCGTCCACAGTTGCAACCTTCATGTCTTCAATCTCTTTCTGAGTTGCCTTTAACCTCTTAAGGGCCTCATTTTTACTAGCCTTCACAGCGTCTACCTGAGCTATAGCAGCTGCCACTTTCATTTCAGCTAAATTATCAGACTCTTCAACTTTACGGCTCAGCGACTCGAATTCTTCCCTGGAGAAAGTTATATTGGCTCCAGATTCAGAGGTTGAGGACCGTGCAGCATTTGTTTTCTCAGAAAGCATCTTTATCTGATCAAGTGCCCTAGTCTCAGCATCTTTCGCAGCTTCAGCCTCTTCCACAGCAACTGCCAGCTGCTTCTCTGCTTCCTCGAGTGCAATTCTCGAGGTTTCAGCTTCCAGCTTCAGCTTCTCAGATTCCCTTTTCATCTCTTCCGCTTCTCGCCGTGCATTTTCTGTTTCCACCGATAGCTGTTGGAGGGTTGAAATCATTTCATCACATTCACCTCTTGCTTTGGATTCCTCTGCAAGGAAAGTTTCAAGCTCAGCTTTACTTTTCCGAAGCTTAACATGCAGATTCCCGGCAATGGACTCTGTTTCTGCTTCCTTCTCCTTCAGCTCCAAATGCTCTTTCTTCACATTTTCTAGTTCCATCCTAAGAGACTCCACCAAACTTCTCAAGGACTTCTCTTCATCAGCGACTTTTTGCAGTGATTCTTTAGCACCATCTAGCTCTGAAGTAACTGTTTGCACATACTCCAGATCAGAAGCCTTTGCATTTTCCATCTGCTTCTGCAAAGCTCCAATCTGATTATCTGTTTCAACCAGTTGGGCTTCGAGATTTCGCATAAGCTCTGGGTCAAATTTATTCTTCAAAGCAAGCAACTTCTCTGTCGACTCTTCAAGGGTAGCTTTGTATGATTGCCTCAGAGTATCCTTTTCAGCAAACATTTTGGCTTGTCCTTGCTGTGCTTCAAGAGATGCAAGCTTCACTTGTCCGATTGATTCCTGTACATATGAAATCTCCCTAGACAGCTCTCCAACCTTCTCGATGTTAACCTTGGCTGCATGTTCAGCTTCTTTTGTTTGTTTGAAGGCAGCAATTTTCGCTTCTAAGGATGCATCACAGTCCTGACATACCTTCCTCAATTCTTGTTTAGCAGCATCGAGCTCGGTAATTACAGTCACATATTGTTCCCTTGCAGTTTCCAAGTCCTGGCTCCTAGCCCAATCAGGTCCAGGAAGAATACCAGAATTTGCTTCTTCAATCTGCTTTGCCTGATTTTTTGCAGCTTCTGTAACCTTGATTGCAGATTCTTTTGACCCGTTAACAGTTTTGAGTTTATGAGACAGTTCCTCGAGGGTTTTTTTAGCCCTTTCTAGCTCTACAAGTGCTTGAGCCTTAGTTGTCTCAGCATTTTCTAGCTGGTCCTTTAACTTTTTCAACTCTTTCTGAGTGAGATGAAGCTGAGTCTCGTTGGCTAGAACTCTCTGCAACTCAAAAACAATTAACATTTGAAAATTAGTGATCATGCAATCTCTAATATGCGATTTTGCAGCAACCAAGCCATAAAGCTCCAATTGTATATTTATGAGAATATTAATAAAGTAATAAACAAATCTTACGAAGACGGAAAAACACTCCACAACAAAGTCTAGTTGCTACATAGGCTTCTCATCCTTCACATAAAAGTAGATGATATATTCAGATCCTCAATTGTACGATTATTAGACGTTTTAACATTTACAACAATTAGAGATGAATGAGAACAAAGGAATAAAAAAGTGATAGGAAAAACTTGAACATGCCACAGGTATCATATCCAAGTCTAAAAAAACACATATACTACTATGAATTGACACAGCATTCCATGTGAAAGAAGGAAGAAAACTTCCTCAAGCCGGTGGTACCTCTGCAGATTGAGCTATTGCCTTTTTTATGGCTGGTTTTCCCCCGGAGAAAGCACCTTCACCAAAAAGTGTAACAGCATCTTTAACAGATTGGAAAGGTGCACTAGTGTCTATCTCTCCCACCTCCACTTTCGGAGAGTTGGTAGCACTCTGACGTCCCTTTGCAACCATAATGTTTTGTGTGTTTAATGTTTGTCTGGAGTTCACAAATTCAAATAAAGGGGCAAAAAAGCAAGCATAAATCAGACAAATGAAAGAAACTTAATATGATGTGCAATATGATTTCCAAAACCAACATGTCTCAGCAGAAAGAATGTGAAACATAATCTCAAAGAAACTTTCGAGACCCCTCAAGAACCAAACGATTCTTTTGCACTATTACATATCTCGGCATCTTAAGTTGATTGCTCTATCACAACATAGACCAGTAACATCAGGCTGGCAAAAACACACTAATAAACAGGCACAAAAATGGATTACCCAAAAGTTCATATTAAAACCTCACTATAACATACATCAATGAAAATAGATTACAATGCAAAAACAGTCAAAATCATCAATAAAGATTTCCACGCCATGAAGCTGATCGTACCTTAAATATCCTTCTCAAGTCTTCAACCAAATTGACTATCTAATCACCTTCTCTTAGAATCAGAAGCTTAAACATTGCCCCAGAAATTCAAGCAACAGAACCCTAGCTCAATATCATAGAAAGAAGTATATTTGAGAAAATTTTCTAGAATTCAAGAACATGACAAAATTGATATCTCAAGTCAAGCATAGAAGTCAAATGAACTGTATAAGATGATTTAACAAAAACAAACAAAAATCCTGTCAAAAAAAGAAGAAGCAAAAACTTTACCCACGACAACCAAAACCAAAAAGGAACAATCAAAACCCAGTTAACAAAAAGTAGTCAAATGAAAAATAAAAGAAAAGATTGAAGAATTAATTACCTTATATAATATTAAAAGCCCTTCACAGCTTGATGAACATCTTCTTTGATCTTCATACTATTCCTTCTCTCTACAAAAACCCTTTAAATCTTTCAACTTAGAGACCAAAACCCACCAGGAAAGGCACAACCTTTGGACAGGAATCTCCCAGGAAAATTTGATCAAAATTTTCTCTGCCAAGAAACAAGTAGGCTTCTGGGGAAAAAGAAAAACAAACTTTTGTGGGTTTTAGTCAAAAGGGGCTTAGCTACCTTCTCTTTTAGTGTTTTTGAAGGATTCAAATAGTAAACATTGCAACTATAGAGAGAGAGAGAGAAAGCGAGAATATTTGAAAATAGTTTGAGACAAAAAAATTTATTTTATATAAGCAAGGATAGTGAAGAAAGAGAAAACAAGGAAGCCTTGTTTTTTTAGCGAGAAAGAGAGAGTTGGGCTTTCCAAGATTGTACTGTCTCAAAATGCAAGGGTATTTTTGTCTGAAAGGTACAAGTTGTGCACAAGGCTTGAGTGATGACTGATGAGCAGAGTAGTGACAAAATGACTGACTGAAACAGACAATGGTAAGGAGTTTGGTTATGGATCCAAATGCTTTGCTTTTCTGCTGTTCCTATCCATCTCATTCATCTCATCAGCCATTTTACCTGTTTTTCTTTCTTTTTGTTTTCTTATTCTCTTTCTTTTCTCTTCGTATGCAAAATTCCATTTACCATTTTTTTTGTTTTATAAATAAAATTCACCTTACTCATGAGGTTACTTGAGCTAGTAAACACAAGTAATTTTACTTTTATCAATTTAAATTTGATTTTCATGGAAAACATTGCCTCCTCATCTCTGCTTCAGGTAGTTGTGGGACAGCAATAATAGCCTTAAATATCCTCAAATGACTCTTTAAATAGCACCAATATCTCATAGTACAAATTGTTTTTATGACCTGTAAATGGACCCCAAGCTTAAGGATGATGATTAGAGTGGATGCATTGGCATGCATAATGTACGGTTTGATTTCCATATCTGATGAATCCATAAGTAGTAATTTCAGAATTCAGCTTTCCTTTGTACAAGAAATCTGTTGAATCCCATTTCAAAGTCGAGTGGAATATCACTGTCCGTGCGTGTGGAAAAGGGAAGCTCAGAACTCATCAAACTTTAGGTGTTCATGACTCATAGTGTCTCCTAAAAGTAAGTCCACCTTCTTGCCTATCTAGCTTTTAGTACTCTCTTTTCATATCAGAAGAGGCAATTTTAGCTTATGAAGGTGTGGGATATGTGTCCTAAACTAATGAGGAAACATGATCAACAAAGACTGAAATTTATTGAGGTGTGGGATATCAGAAGTTGGCCTGGCTTGTATCGAGCTAATTCGGCAGCACCAAAATCGACGAATTCCGGAGCCTCCGGGTTTTCACTGGCGTTTGTTCTCGACATGCTTCAAGTACCTCTGGTATTTGAGGGGGCAATCTCTTGTCTAGGACTATCGATTGTTGTCAAGCTCCGCAGAGAGACGAAAGTCCTTAGTTGCACGTCCGAGCCTGACCTTCCGGTTGTTGAGCCCGAAGGTGGCCCATACCGCAAATTAGTTTCAGACAACAACCAATTTACCTTACTAAAATCCATTACAAAACTGTTAATAACCAGGACAAGTAAACCGGTAAAAGTTAATTACATATGCTGAAGTTTCTTAAGCTACGAAATACTCGTTTTCGTTTTAAGTGGTTTATCATTGAAGTTACTTTAAGCTTCTTTCTTCTTTTTTCTCCCTCAATTCTTACTTCATCATTAGAGAAGCAACCTCATGATCTCATAACACTTTCTAAAATTATCAGCCAATAAAATGTCTACAAAAAGAGGTGGATTCCTAATTTCTTACCATTTACCTTACACCTAATTTCTTCGTCATTTGTTATGATTTTTTTAAGCTCCAATTTTATTTTTTTGATTATAGTTATATAATTATATTTATTATTTAATATGTTTTACCTTAAATATTATGTTGTAGTTGATTTGAATCATTTTGTTTCATTTTATTTTATGGTTTTTTATTTATACATGTTATGACTTGTGATATTTTTATACCTTTTAATATTGTAAACTTAAAAAAAGTGTTACATATATATTAATATTGCTTTGAATATTATGTAAAATTAAAAAAAAAATTATTTTATATAAAATCCGGTTCAACCGCGGTTGAACCCGGTTGAACCAGTAGCTTCACCGGTTCAATGTCCGGTCCGATTTTGAAAACATTGATAAATACTTATGCTTCATTTGTATGTCATTATGTATTTTGAAAAGTCTGTCATTTATATGTTGTTTTTAAAATCAATGTATATCTCATTATTAGGATCGGTTCTGACTATTTTTTGACTCAGGGAGAAATTATAAATTTGGGCCCCCAATTTAAAAAAATTATAATATATAATATAAAATTTTAATTAGAGTTTTTTTTTTGTGAAGTAAGAACTATTTATTAACATTAATATAAAATTAAATAATTACAATTGACACATTAATAAATGTATGGTTTATATTATTGTATTTTACAGCTTTTTTAAAAAACATTATTTTATTTTACAATTTTTTTAAATTTCTTATAAAAATAAAAGAAAATATTATACTAATAATACTTTTTAATCTGTGTACCTTGGGTGGACGCCTTTTTACCCTCGTTCAGGCCCCACCCTGCTTATTATGCATTATGCAAGGAGTTCTTGTTGTTCAAGTGGAAGCATGAATTCTAGACTTACGATTCGTCGTGCTATTTGTAGACATGTAATTTGTCGCACTATTTCTGAACTTGTGATTCATTGCATTATTTTTGGATTTATGATAAATTATCGCACCTTATTTGTTGAAAATTAAAGCAGCCTTCGACTGATTTTCTTCAAGCAAATGGGGCGGCTAAATTATCAAAATTAGGCAGTAGTTTTTGATGACTTTTGGCATGGAAAAATTGTAAAATTAGTCACTGTACTTTAGGATATTTACAAGATTAGTCCTGAAGCTTCAACTATAAATACCCTAACCCATTTAGCTTCAAAATCATCCCAAATCATTCTAGCTTTCTCCCAATACTAGAGAATTTAGAGAGTTTCTTGAGAGTTGTTTTCTCCTTTTTATTAAGAGAGAATTCTTATTGTTTTCTCCTTGTTAGATCGAGAGAAGTTGTAATTTTTTCTCATAGTGAAATTCTTCTATCTTTGCCTGTGGTTTTTACCCTATATTATTTAGGGGGTTTTCATGTAAAATTTGTGTCTTCTTTATCTTCATTTTTATTTTCTCAAATTATCAGTTGCGATTTTGCTCTATCCGATAGCTGTAATCCGCAACAATTGGTATCAAAGTCTGATTTGAGTGTGTAATATCTACTTATTGTCTTTGTGGTTGCCACCAAAAGGTGGATCCTCCAACATAAGAAAGTAAGAAGACATTACCCATTCTTTAAAGGTTCCAGAGAACTATTTACGATAGTGAAATAATGAGAGCTATCCGTAATAGAATCTATGACAACGTAATTTGATATTGAAAAGTTCAATGAGAGAAATTTCTCATTGTGGAAATTGAAGATGAATGTCATCTTGAGGAAAGACGTGTGTCTAGCGGCTATCAGTGAAAAGCCGATAGATTTCACAGATGACAACAAATGGATCGAAATAGACGGGAATGATATGACAAACTTTCATCTAGCATTAGCAGATGAAGTATTGTCAAGCATCGAGGAGAAGAAGACATCTAAGGAGATATGAATCATCTCACTAAATTGTACAGGCCACATCGTTGCACAATAAAATTTTCCTTAAGAGGAAATTATACACTCTCCGTATTCCAGAATCTACTTCAGTGACAGAGCACTTAAACACGCTGAACACTTTATTTTCTCAGCTTACATCCTTAAGATGTACAATAGGAGAACAAGAATGTGATGAACTTCTACTTCAAAGTCTACATGATTCGTATGATCAACTCATCATCAACTTGACAAACAATAATGTCACCAGTCTTGTCTTCGATGATGTTGCAGCTGCTGTTCTACAAGAAGAAAATCGGTGCAAGAACAAAAAAGACAGACAAGTAAATATGCAACAAGCAGAAGCGTTGAAAACGATGAGAGGGAGATCAACGGAACGTGGCCAAAGCAGCAGTTACAAACATGGTAGATCAAATTCGAGAAGTAAAAAGAATTTAAAGTGCTACAACTGTGGAAAAAAGGGTCACTTGAAGAAGGATTGTTGGAGTTTAGATAAAAACTCCAATCCACAAGGCAATACTGCAAACACTTCAGATGATGGAGATGCTCTATGTTGTGAAGCGTCAACCACCGTGGAAGGTAGAAAAAGATTTGCAGATATATGGCTCATTGATTCATGAGCAATATATCACATGACCTCAAGAAGAGAATGGTTCCATCATTATGAACCTGTCTTAGGAGGATCTGTGTATAGTTACAATGATCATGCCTTAGAGATCATTGGCTTGGGAACCATCAAATTGAAGATGTATGATGGAACAATTAAAGTTGTTTGAGATGCGCGACACGTGAAAGGCCTGAAGAAAAATTTATTATCCTACGGATTGTTGGATAATAATGCAAGCAAGATTGAAACACGGAAAGGAATCATAAAGGTGTTTCGTAGAGCGCTTGTGGTGATGAAAGGCGAAAAGATAGCAACAAACTTGTACATGCTGAAGTGAGAGACTTTGCTAGAAGTAGAAGCCTCTTTTGCCTCATGTAGTTCAGATTCTGCAATGCTATGGCATCAAAAACTTAGACACATGTCAGAACAAGGAATGAAAGTCCTTGTGGAGCAAAGGCTACTTCCAGGCTTAACAAATGTATCACTTACTTTGTGTGAGCATTGCATAACAAGTAAGCAGCATCGGTTTAAATTCAACACGTCAAATTCTAAAGGCAAAAATGTTCTAGAATTGGTTCATTCTGACGTATGGAAAGCACCAGTTACATCCCTAGGCGGAGCAAAATACTTTGTCTCATTTATTGATGAATACTCCAGGAGATGTTAGGTGTACCCTATTAAGAATAAGTCATATGTGTTTTCAACTTTCAAAAACTTCAAATCGCGAGTGGAACTTGATTCTGGAAATAAGATCAAGTGTTTCAGAACAGATAATGGAGGAGAATACATAAGTGAATAATTTGATGACTTTTGCAGGAAGGAAGACATCAAAAGACAGTTCACAGTGGCGAACACTCCTCAACAAAATGGAGTGACAGAGCGGATGAACAGAACCTTATTAGAAAGAACAAGAGCAATGTTGAGGGATGCAGGCCTAAAAAAATCATTTTTGACAGAAACATGTAATACCGCCTGTTATTTGGTGAATCGAGCTCCATCAACTGCAATAGAGTTGAATACACCAATAGAGATGTG